CCTGTCCCTCCGGCGGGGCCATCCGCACGGCGGGTGGACGGTGCTTTCTCGGGCGAGGCTGCCTTTCTCCCCGACCCCCGCGTCGGCGGGTTCTTGTGCAGTGGGAAGCCCGGGAGTGTCCGAGGGTGTTCATGACTCCTGAGGGGTCTCCGGGGCCTGATCCACGTGGGAGCCTGCAGATGCGGGAAGCGGCCGGCGGCGGGGTGGGTGGTGCCTAGGCCCTCATCTGCGTTAAACCAACGCCCCGTTTTTACCTACCCCCAGGAATTTCATTGTTACCGGCCTACAGGACATAGATAAGTGCAGGCAGCAGCTTCACGACATTACTGTACCTTTAGAAGTTTTTGAGTAAGTATCATTCCTCGCGTTAATGTTGGGTAGGAATCTTGTTGAGTTGTGACACTGAGGACTTCAGCTTGCAGCAGTTGAGTGCATGGGCATTTGCTGGTGAAAGAGCGGACAAAATTACCTGTCCTAGAGCTTGATAGACTAATGAGATTTAGAAATTAAAAAAAAAAAGTTGTTGAGAAAAATACTACACAAAAATAAAAGGTTACTGAATATGTGAAAGGCATTGTAGACTTCCAAGCCCTCTGCTAAAAAGTTTAGGCTAAAGAACAACCACATAACTTAATGTCTTATGTGGGCTACATCATGAATTAGGAGGAAAAAAATTACAGCTAGAAACTGCGTGAAAAATATTGTGATCTGGTTTTCCTAAACAGCCTGTGCTGTGCTGGTTCTGGGAGATGATGATACCTCCTATGTTGGGAAGAAGGTAAAGGTCTCAGTCCAGGTGCTGTGGGAAAGGTATTCACTGGTTGCTGCTGGAGATGAGCACCCGTCACAGGGGTGGCTTGGAGGATGCCTTCAGTACATAAATTGCTTAGGATTTTAATTCAGGTTTTATCACACTGGCTTGTCACAGCTCTAATTTTATCCTCACAAGAACTGATAAGTAACTGTAATAGGTTGTGTAGCTAGTAAAGCTCTCAGTTAAGACTAAATCCCAGGCCTGTGCCTCCACACTAGTATCATTTTCTCTATGCAGTGTAACTTTTCCCTCCCTGTGCTGCTTTGGAATAAGAATTCTTGTACTTTTTGTAGCAAAAGTTACATTTTGATAACCTTGAACAATAAAGGGAACATTATGGTTGTTTTATATCCAGAACGTTGGAGATAAACTTAGTTAGAATGTCATTCAGTAGCTGCCTACACAGATAGGACATAGAGGCTGAGTGTTGTGGCCTCCCTTCCATCCTTTAGCTGCCAACCAGGTGCCACGTGCAGTCTACCTGTCCTCAGCACCACTGAGGCCTATGCCTTCAGGTGAATTGAAGGGCTGGTGCGTGGTGCTGCTCTGGACTCCTGGGCAACGGCTTCCTGCTTGTGAACTCTGTTAATTGAAGCATCCTTCTCAGTGTTGCTCTGGTCCTGAGTGCTTGGGACTGGTATAGTGACAGATGCCAGTGATGACTGGTTTTCTGATGAAAGGAGGGTAGAGGAGACAAGATTACTTAAGGGCAGAGGGCCTGAAGAGATTGATCTGGGGTCTCAGGAAGAGGATGGACAGCCTGTGGCTCTCGGTAGCAGATGCTGGAGGTTGAGGTGCTCACAGTGTAGGAGGAGTTCAGGCCCAAGGAGTGTTCTTTAGGACACACGTGGACAGATCGTAGCAAAGGTAGAATAACCTTTCCTACACGGAAAGTTGAGATTGTGTGTTGGCAGGTGTTTTAGTCAGCTTTTCACTGCTGTGGCCAAGGACTTGACAAGAACAATTTTAGAGGAGGAAAAGTGTATTTGGGGCTCACAATTTTAGAGATCTTAGTTCACAGATGGCAGATTCCATAGCTGTGGGCCCAGGGGGAGGCAAAACATCGTGGTGGAAGGACATGGAGGAAGAAAGTAGCTCAGGACATGATACCAGGAAGCAGAGAGAGACTAAGCTTGGCTCCCTGTAACAAAATATATACCCCAGAGGAACCTCAGGTGGACCCACTTCCCCAGCCACACCCTGCCTCCCTAGTCACTGCAGTTAATCCACTCAAGTGGATTGATGCATGGGTTAGGTTAAGGCTCATAATCCAGTTAGTTAATTTGTAAACTCCTTGTGTTGTCTCACATGTGAGCTTTTGGGGGACACCTCATGTTTAACCCGAAATAGCAGAAGTGGGATTCATCTCTTGGGTCTTAGAACAGCCCAGCCTGAGTAGGGCCTTGCTGTTGATGTGATGGCTGTTTATTTAGGACATGTGGAATGATCAGCCCTGTTCTGTGGAATCCTGTCAAGGTTTCCTGTTTTTTTTTTTTTTTTCCCTTGAGAAATGGATGGATATTAACTGCAATTCTAAATGAATTATCCTTCTTTCATTACATCTTTTCAAAAACATCACAGTAAAATGAGGTTTCCAGAACTTGTCATTTCTGTTTTGCCATTTGAGATAAAATTTTTAAAAAGGGCTGGGAGTGTAGAGAGACAGAATCCCTTGGATTCAATCCCAAAGAAAGAAGAAAGAGCCTTTCTTACCTCAGGCTGTTGTGGAATCAAAAAGCTAATAGCATGAAAGTATTTTGAATAATACAAATGCTAAACAGATGTGAAGTGGGAATGGCTTATGCAGCTTTCCTGTGCTTATAAAGAGCATTGCTTGATTTCATAAGCTGTTACAAGAAATAATATGAGATGCTATGGAAATGAGAAAATCTTAATTCACCTGCTTCCTGGACTCAGTTTTGTCTAAATAGAGCCATAGGAAGACATATGTAAAATATGTAGTGAACTTTTTTTTGCCATAGTCCCTAGAAAACTGAGAGTAGGTGTCACCATCTGAATGCTAACTGAGATATTCCATGTTTCCAGATACATAGATCAAGGTCGAAACCCCCAACTCTACACCAAAGAGTGCCTGGAGAGGGCTTTAGCCAAAAATGAGCAAGTTAAAGGCAAGATTGACACAATGAAGGTAAGACTGGCATGAAGAGCAGAAGATGCCAAGGCATACTTTGGAAAGAGATGTGTAGCAAGTCTGGCTGGTAGGCTTGTCCTTTTCCATACTCGGTAGAACAGCAGCTGTTCGTGGCATTACTGTTAAGATGCTGTGATAGGTGGTTAAGTTAAATATCAGTGAGCTATGTGGCAGCAACAAAGTTTAAAAAACCAAATTGTAGTCTGCATTTAAGAAAGAACAGGTCAGTTTGTTCAGTATGCCAGGTTTGCACTTGGGTGGTACGGATGCTTTCTGTTGTTTTTCCGTTTGGATCCCAGCTGTTGATACATTTCTTGAGTTTATGATTCTGTGTTTCAGAGGGCTCTTGAATATTTTCTTACCTTTCTCGTGTGATTGTCTCCAGCTCCCAACCTCCAAACCCTTCTTCCTGTTCCTTATGTTTCTGTGGAGAACTTAGATTTTATTTGCCTTGATGGCATCTGGAGACCACTGCGTCTTGAGCATGAAATATAGCTCAGTTGGTATTTAAATCTGCGTTGGGATTGCAGTGGCCTCCTGACCTTGGCCCCCAGTGCCCTGCCTGGTCTGCATGCTGGCCCCCACGCTGCTTTCCCCTGTCCTCTTTCCTCCAGCTGCTTCCTTGGCTGAAACTCTCTGGAGCCCTTTTTGCACAAGGGACTCTCTTGGCCTCGGCTCATTTCATCTTCTGTGAGAGGCTTTTCTCTAAAATTTCTTACCTGATAGTGCTGTCGAGTTTGCATTTTATTTCTCCTATTTTCCTTCTGCCTGCTGGTTAAGCTCCAGGACTGTAGGACATGTATGTTCTCTTTCTGGTGTTGCCCAGTGCCCTCCTGGTGCCAGCCTGGCTCACCTGGTGTCACCTGGTTGTGTCTGATGTGTGCAGGCTGGTGGGTCAGAGGGGCTTTTTGTGCCCATGTGGCTCTGGCTGGGTGGAAGGAGTGAGGGGAAGGGCTCTGTCAGGAGACTTGTGTCAGCACCTCTGCCTGGTTGTCAAGCTTCCCAGGGCCTGGTCCAGGCATCCCACAGGTGGGAAATGGCCCTGGAGGCAGATGTTAGTTTGGAGCCCACAGCTTCCTCCTCCTTGTCCTTTTGGGATTGGGGAGCTACTGAACTTTGTGCTTCCTTCCAGGTATGGTTCAACTTTCTATCAGTAGCAAGTTGTGATGGCTCGATGGTGCTGTTCCCCTGATCAAGGGTGAATGAGTTTTACCGACCATCAGAAGTCACCTTTGTGAGCACAGTGGCTGGTCCACGGGCTCACAGCCCCATTGGGCACTTGTTAAACTCTGCCTCTGGACCCTGAAGGACGTGCTGATGTCAGTGACACACGAGGCCGAATAGTTTACCCCTCCCTTGCATCTCTGCTCATTGTCAGCTCTCAGATCTGTGACGGTCTCAGGTCACAGTTCTTTGGCTTTTACTTCTCCAGTGGAATATGTATTTAAACTTAAAATAAGTTGTATTTTAAAATAGTTTAGCTCTTCATTTCAACACTACGATAAGTATTGTACTTTGATGGTACGGATGCTTTCTGTTGTTTTTCTGTTTGGATCCCATCTGTTGATACACTTCTTGAGTTTATGATTCTGTGGTTCAGAGGATTCTTAATAAGTATTCTATGTTGAAATGGCAAATGTGTTCATGCCCCTTTTTGGTATAGCTCCTAAGAATAAAGGTCTTGAGATGCTGGCAGATTTAATTGCTTTTAGTTTGGGGTTTAAAAGCAAATGTTACACTGATAACATAGGCTTAGAAAGCCGTGGGGCTTGCATAGATAATGTATTTTCTGGTGCTCTGAAAGCTTCTCTTGGAGCTTTTTGCACACAGTGAGTTTGATGTGATTCTAGTAAGTAATTGCTTAATTAAATATTATTTTAAATCCCTGTTACCTGTGCTGTCTGCAGAAGTCATTTCCGCCTGTGTGTCTGGCTCCTGCCGAGATGCTTTTTCCTTTCTTTGGGCATGAAATGAGGAGTTGTTTTAAAAGGGACGTTACCTTTTCAGGGAGGTCTAAGTGTGCCTTCAGCATGGCTGCAGACACTCTTTTGGTGGGCTCTCCAGGTATTGTGTTCATGGAAGGTGAGCAGGCGTGCAGGGACCACCCACTTGAATGGAGGAAGCCCTGTTCCCACTCTCCTGGGGACCCAGTTGAATTTGAGGGATCATGGGGGATCGTGTGACCTTTAACTTGGATGATAGGGCAGATTTTTTGACAGTATTTTTCTTCATAGAAATTTAAAAGCCTGCTGATTCAAGAACTTTCTAAAGTGTTTCCAGAAGATATGGCTAAGTACCGAAGCATCCGGGGTGAGGATCACCCGCCTTCCTAAGCCTGCAAAGACCCCAAGTCCTTGACGGAACAGGACCAAGCCAGCAGGAGGCCATGATTGTCCGCACTGACGGTGCCTTCCTGCCAGTGTGGACTGGCCCTGGACCTGTCCCTACCCCTGCTGTCCCTGTCGGTAGACCTCGTGGGATTCTGGGGCTGGACGAGAAGTGGAGCGGAGCCCCTCTGTCTCTGTAGCCCTTGACTGGTGGTCCCACATCCTCAGAGTGATTCCTTTCATTCTCTCAGTGGGCAAAGGGCCCAGGGTGAATCCTGGAAATGTTAAGTGTGATCAGTAAATTAAAAGTTCAAAAAATTCTACTTGCTATTTTCCTTTTTATGGACTCTTTTCTGTTTCATTTTATTACGGTATCAAAAAGCTAAAAAAATGATTTTATATTTTACACTTTCAAATGTAAATAGTGTGTAACTGTTTTCATGGATTTCAGTTAGACAAATGCGTAGAATAAAGTTGAGTAGTTAGCTCATTTCATGTAATTATTTTATAGCTTTGTACAAGGTAGAATGGCATATCTTATAAATCGTCAATTATTACTCCTCTAAACTATTAGTAATATTCATAAAACAATCTGTTATTTAGGCAGAAAAAACTAATTAGAAATACAAAATTCGTTTTTTTTTTTATTTTCTACAATCATATCCTTTATAGAGGTCGTGACACTAAAGAGTACAGATTTATTGACACTGTGGGGAATGCCCTGCAGGGCTGTGCAGTGTGGCTTCCAGTGTGCTCAGGGATCACAGGGTTTTGCTGGACTGCAGCTTCTGATTTAGTTGGACTGGGCCTTGAGTACTTCGGCCTTACTGTGGTGCATCTCCAGCTGACCAGACTGGCTTGTTACAAGGGCAGAATTCCATTTCAGTGACAGGCTCTAGGATAGAGCTGAGAATCTGCATGATTGATTTGCCTCCTAGTGATTCTGGGTCTGCTTAGATTGAAGGGTGTTGTAACAGCACAAGCCAGGTAGTTTAAACAGGAGAAACTAATTTTCTCAGTTCTGGAGTCTGAAAATCCAAGGTAACCTCAAAGAGGAATAGGCAGATTCTTTTAGTCAGCTTTGTGTTGCTGTGACCAAAAGACCTACCAAGAACAACTTAGAGGAAAAGTTTATTTTGGCTCATGGTTTCAGAGGTTTAGCCAGCTCTAGCTCTGGGCCTGAGGTGACAGTAGAACATCATTTTGGAAGGATGTGGCAGAGGGAAGTTGCAGCCAGGAAGCAGACATCTCCAGGGATAAAATATAAACCCCAAAGGCACACTCCTAGTGACACACTTTCTCCAACAACACCCTGCGTACCTGTGGTTACCGCCCAGTTAATCTATATTGGTGGGTCATTCCACTGATTAGGTCACAGCTCTGATCATTTTGCCCCTGAACGTTCCTGCGTTGTCTTGTAAGTGATGAGCTTTGGGGACACCTCTTATCTAAACCACAACAGGTTATTTTTTTTTTTTTACATTGTTTGTAATAGGAAGAAAAATCAATGTTAACAGTGACTTAGATAAATGTAGCTCATCATTTGATGGAGTGCTCTGCTTTGATTAGAAGGAATGAGGAAAGTATGCAGATACAGAGAGATCTCCAAGAAACAGCTCAAAACCCTTTGTAAGAACATTGAGTAGGGGTCTGCTTTGCTTGATCTGCACTCTGATGAGAGGTCCTCCAAGGCCGCCTGCCTGCTGGAGGCAGGACCACTGAAGAGCCTCCTCCCCTTGCCACCTAGAGCACTCCATGCACCTTCAGGGTGGTCCTCCCTATCCCTGGGTGCTCATCCATCTCTTTACTCCAGTTAAGTCTTGGACCAAGGTACTGGGTTCACTGCAGGCCACACAAGCCTCCCAAGTGAGCCCTACTCACCCACCACCCAACTTCCTGTTTCTCCACAGGACTTCTGCAGGTGCCTCAGACTCCCCCAAAGTGGACTGAAGCCACCTCACCTCCTCGCGTGCCCAGGAAATGGCAACACCTTCCGTCCCCTTTCATTGTCTTCGCCTCCCTCTGTCCCCCCACCTGCCCTTGAAGCAAAGCCAGTCTCCTGGATTAGGTCTACTGACTGTCCTGTGTTGCACCCACTAGTCTTCATCCTCCAGGTGCACCTGTGTGTGCCTTCGCCCACCTGGCCTCCTGCCCGACTCACCTGCTCTCCTTCAGCTCGCCCTGTGTCTAGGCTCTCACTGTCCAGGTCAAGTTAGAGCAGCACACAGCCAAGTGGGAGGAGCAACAGTGATTTCATCTTCGCTCCTCACTGAAGGTTCCACCTCTCCTTGCTTCCCGACTTCCTTCACAACACTCATGTTGGTCATGCCCTGGACTCATCTGATTGTGGTTGGCAGAATAGGGGCCCCTGGGGCGTCCACATTCTCACCCCAGTTCCTGTGGACAGGTTGCCTTACATGGCCAAAGGCCAGGTTTTGCACATGGGGTTTAGATACGGCTCTTGAGAGGGAGATTTCGTGGGCCATGCAGGTGGGCCCAGAGCAGCCACCAGGGCCATTGCTACCAGAGGGAAGCAAGAGCAGGAAGAGGAGTTTGTGTTGAAGGAGGCAGAGGTGGGAGAGGACATGGGTGGAAGAAGATACTGGACTTCAGGGTTTGAAGGAGATCAAGGGGCTGTAGGCTGAGGAAGGTGTGCAGGTGGCCTCTAGGAGGTAGAAGGACAAGGAGAACTCTCCCTGGGGCTGCAGCCACCGGCACCTTGGTTTTAGGACTTGTGACCTCCAGAGCACCAAGGTGATAACATTCTGGTGCTTGGTGTATTGCCGTCTATACAGCAGCAGTAAGAAATGAGCACCTGTCCTACGTGAACAGTCGAGGTCAGGAGATGGAGGAGCCAATGCGCTGTGCTCCTTGAACTCTGATGTGATGACATTTACTAGTTACACTTGTCCTTCATCACTGCCCTGCTTACTCTAAGATCATCAAAACACTTAATAGGAACAAAGTCATCTTCCTGCAAAACACTTTGCAGAGAGGAAATATTGACAAATACATTAACAGACTATCCAAAGACCTGATTTTTGTCCTGACTTGTGAGAATTTTCATGGCGCTCTCCTCTGGTCACAAAGACAGCCAGAGATTGTTCTGGAGAGGAGCCCTGTAAGGGGAGCAGCCAGGAGTTCATGCAGTCCCCAGGATCCTCGCTGCTGCCTGTGTGTTTCCCAGGCTGCTGTGGCAAACCATGAACCTGGGGCCTGACGACAGCACATTTCTGGAGGCCGTACTTGTGACAGGTGTGGCTGGGGCTGTGCTTCCTCTGTGGTCTCCAGGGGAGGTTGCTTCCTTGCTCCTGTGGTCCCGTGGCTCTGGGTGTTCTGGGCCGTGGCTGTATTGCTCCACTCGCCCCTTATAAGCACAATTGTCATTCGACTCAGGGTATAATCCAGGATGACTTCATCTCTAGATTTCAGCTCCATCACATCTACTGAGACCCTCCTAAATATGGTCACTTTCACAGATTCCAGGTGAACGCCTTTTGAGGGGGCCACCCCAACCCCTGCACTGCCCTCTCAGGCACGCCTGACCATGGAGCACCTGGCTCTGCTAGCTGAGGGGTGAGTCCAGTCTTCTGGGGCTGCCCGTCTCTTCTCCTGGACTCACTGGGCTCTGCACTGCCCACTGCAGTGTCTGTGCTGGTCTTCCCAGTAGAGGTGGCTCACGGGTGGGGGACCAAGGACTGGCAAAACTGCTGAGGTACCGTGTGTCCACGCAGGCACAGAAGCAGTGCTGGTCTTCTGGCTTGCGGGAGGAATACTTTGGGAGACAGACAATCACAGGGCTGAGAGCAGGATCTTCGCAGACGGCTCTGACACACACACACACGCGTCAGTGAGAAGCCTCATCAAGGCAGATTTGCTGAGGGTGCGACAGGCTGGGTTGTGTGGGGTAATGAGGAACAGCCGGCTTGGGCAGCTGGCACCCCTCGTCCAGCATGGGAGCCTCTGGTCGGGCTGAGAGACGCTCATTCCTGTCCTGCCAGGGAGATGCTGCCTGTGAAGATTCGAACCTCCTCCTTGAGTACTGAGCCGACCGTGTGGATGCCGGGGCTTTTCTCTTGAGCTGTATGCACAGGCTTTCTGCAAAAGATGCTTGTCATTTATTCAAGAATGGCTTAAGCACACACAGTGGGTTATTTCCTTTCAGTAAGCGTGTGGCAAACACACAAGAGATGGGGTGCATACATGGCAATTAACTGGAACCTGTGTGAACAGGATGGCGGTCCCAGTCCCAGGGCCATCTTCTGGTGCAGCGATTGAGGTGGCTCGGCCCCTGTGCTTCTGAAGCTGCTGCTCGTGTCCTGGCAGATGGTCATTCCTCAGGAGAGGTGGCACCTTCCAAGGTCTCTACACACCAGCTCACAGGCAGACTAAATGGCGTGACAATTCAGTCACCAGGTCAGCTCCTAATGCAGGTGTTTGGCAGACTGGACACTATTATTTTGAATGAACATGAGAGCAATGCTTCGGTTTCAACAGGCAGAGACGTGGACTTCCAGGGTGCTGTGTGGCTGGCTGGCTGGCTGGCTGGCGAGGGCCGGCTTCCAGCAGCCTCTATGCTCCAGGGCCCTGCTCTGTCCTTTCCCCCCGGCTTTCCTGTCTGCTGTCTGGACGAGTTGGTTACCTGCTCTGCCACACACCTGGCTACAGAACGCACACTCAAGAGCAGGAACTGGGACCTGCAAACACAGTTGCCATGAAGTCAGTTTGGTTTGGGGTCCCCGAGCTGACCCATCTGGGAGACTTCTACTGCCTGGGCTGGGGGTGGGTGCAGCTTGGGACCCAGCTCCTCCACCCCACTCGGGAGCTTTCGAAGGCCAGGCTGCCTGGGCTGCATCTCTGTGGTTGCCCTGAGGATCCAGTGTTCGGCCACATTGCTTGGCCTGTGAGGCAGATGCTTCCAGAGCACCACCATGGAAGGTCGTGCTGGCTGTGTCCCAAGGAGAGGCCTCCTGGTGTCCCCCAGAGCCTCTGTGCAGAGCAGCAGGGCAGCAGAGATGCTCCTCAACAGGCAGGACTATGTGGGTGTTGTCAGACAGGGAAGGGGCATTCCCAGGGTCACCTCCCAGCAGGCAAGCTGAGGGCCAGAGTTCACAGGTCTTTGTCCGCGTGCCTCACATGAGGGGACCTACCACCCACCCTACAGGGAGGGAGGTGTGGGGGCAGGACACAGCAATGGTGAGACCAGAGCAGGTCGCCCGGAGTAGGGGTCACTGGGGGTGGCCATGTGTGTGCCTGCTCTAGTGAGCTGGCACTGCTGTCCATTCCAAGTGCTCCGAGCTCTGCTTACCCTGAAGTTGCCTGA